CATGCAGTGTGATGAAAAATGCAAGTAGGGTTTCACCTTCTATATTAGCATCAACGGTTGACACCTCTCTCTCTCTCATCAAATATAGATGTTTGATCTAAGAGAAAAATGATTCCAGGCTGCAGGATGAGTTGCTGTGAACGGATCACCATCATTGTTTCTTGTTCTACAACCCTTCACCCTTTTCGAAGGCAAGAAGAGCTCCTCGCAGTGAACAGCACAGGGCGGTGGTGAACCTCCAATGCTAACCTGGCGATCAAGGTTCCCATTAACTGAGGAGGACCTCACCATTTTCTTCAGCTTGGTAAGTAAATTGACAAGCTTCTCCATCCTCGACCTCTTAATCTTTCGTTAATCTCAAATCCTCTTGAAGAAGCTTATATGTAGAATTGGAGGAGTTGAAATGAGTTGATCAAAGTGTGGTGGCATCACACAGATTTCGTGCAAGCTTGTACAAGATGAGCGTGGCATTTGTGAGTTACGTGCGTTTTCTTTCTGTTATAGGCTTATAGGCTCACATGCCTTGTCGTTTTGTTGCAGCTTTAGCTTTGAGGAGGATATGTTACGTTCACTTTGTTAGAGAGTAATGATTTGTTGGCTTCTTATATGGCATGAAAATTTTGGATCTGTAATACTTTATGCACGTCAAGGAGTCATATTTACAATACTTACATGTATTTAATGTCACTACCATCTCAACGGTCATATGATGATTGAATTAAATACATATATTAGCATGAATTATATCTGACTGTCAAATGGTAATTATATTAAATAGTAAAAACATATAAGTTTTGTAACCAATTCTGAAAAGTCTTAATACAAAATCAGGGTTGAAAAACAAATAAAAAAGAGAAGTTAAATGAGAAAGGAAGGCCAAAAAATTATTGCTTGTGTCACTCTATTTTTTAATCTCTTCATTTCGCTTGTGGGTGCAAAACTTAGTAAAATATTGAATTTAAATGGTAAATAGTAAATGTCTAAGGGCTGGTTTGGTATTGCTGTACTTTGAAAAAAAGCTGCTTCTGCTGTGCTGTGAGAATAAGCAGCTGTGAAATAAAGCAGCAGATTGTTTGGTAAACTTTTTATGTAAAAGTGCTTTTGAAAAAAAAAAAGCAGTATTATATGTTTGATAAACTTTTATGTAAAACAGATGTGAAAAAAAGCCAGTTTTTCAAAGCTGGGTTTTGCAACTTCTTGTTTTTGGCTTTTTTTCACCCAAAACTATGAAAAAAAGCTGAAGCTGGATGTTTACCAAACACAAAAAACAGCTTCCAGCTTTTTTTTATACCAGTTTTTTTCAAAATCACCTCAGTACCAAACCAAGCTTAAGTCAACACTTCGATTTAGTAAGATTTGAGTAAGTCAAATAAAAAATCCGTTCCATATCAATTATGATTAATCCACTATGTGACTTACCCAAATTCTAATCCTGTGTCACAATTACTATGCTAACCATAAACAAATGCCATTTGAAGAGGAACATTTTTCTTCATAGTCATAGGGCATAAACTCATAGCATTTAATTAATTTTTATGGGTATTAAAATCTGATAATCCAATTTTATTCCTTTATTGGTCCAATCTCTTATGAACAAATAGTAAAGAGCAAAATACACCAATAAAATTTCATGAAAAACCATGGCCGGCTGACGTGTAAATCTCTGATTGGCCCTCACACGTAGCTCGCTCAGCCCAAAACCCAGAAGAAAATTCACTAGGGGTTTCGTCTCTGTGCCTCGAGAGATTTCTTCACTGATTAGCACAACAAATCTCAGAGAAAGAGAGAGAGTGTGTAAGAGAGAGAGAGAGAGAGAGAATGAGAGAGAATCAATTTCGAGCAGTCCCTATCATCTTCTTGTTTTTCTTTGTCGTCAGTGTCTGCGATGCACTATACGGACCATCATCACCAGTTCTTCAGCTAACTCCTTCCAACTTCAAGTCCAAGGTATATGTTGAAACTTTACCAGTAATTGCGCCTACCCTTTTCAGATTCTTCAGTTTTTTGCATTAATTTGTTGGAATTTGTCACCGTTTGGATTGAAAAGCACTTGGGCGTTGATTGGTTTTTTCAATTAAGAAGCGATTGTTTTGCTGTTGAAAGCAAAGTGCTTTCTTGTATTGCTTTTAGAGTTTTACAGCTTACGGAGATCATTAGTTTTTGGATCTGGTTTATTGCTTCTTGGGGATATTTGTTTCGGAAAAAGTAAGTTAATTTTGCACTTTGTGGAAATTGTTTGATAAATTTGCTGAGTTTAATGTACTTGTTTTTCGTTTCCCAACGTAGAAAAGTGATCAGTGAGTTCTGATTCTTATTGGGTTAATTATGATTTCTACTAAGACAATTTGCCTGGTATTTTCTTGAACTGAATCCTGTGGAATGGTGGCAGGTTCTGGACTCAAACAGAGTTGTTCTGGTTGAATTCTTTGCACCGTGGTGTGGACATTGTCAGGCTCTTACACCGATATGGGAGAAAGCGGCTACTGTCTTAAAGGGTGTGGCCGCCGTGGCAGCTCTTGATGCTGATGCACACAAGTCCCTCGCTCAGGTTTCCCATAGTTACTCTTGCAATTACTAATTTTGACTTCCAAGTTTGAAGTAGCAATTGTAGAGTAACATCCCTCTGCCTGAAAATATTTGGTCAACCATATTATTGTTTTATAAAACTGCATGGAAAAAATTCCCCGCTGTATCATAGTTTTGCCATATTTGGACAAGGAATATGGGTATTTCAGGTTGTTTACTAATATGTTAATTTTGTGCGGGGTTGTTGGTGTGTTTGATTGCTCTATAGGAATATGGGATTAGAGGATTTCCAACAATAAAGGTGTTTGTCCCTGGAAAGCCTCCAGTTGACTATCAGGGAGCAAGGGATGTGAAACCCATTGCAGAATTTGCACTCCAACAGGTTCGTCGTAATCTCTTCTTCAAATTCTATTTGTTTTGTTAGTTTGTTTCTTTTCTTGTATATTGGTTAAAATAGAGTTTGGTAACATTCGTGGATTAAGATAGTCTCATATTGTTTCTGCTCCACTATGTCTAACCTTGCTCTATTACTTAGTCATTGGGATATGTAGATGGTTTAATCATTTCTCACTCGGTCATATAATGCTCTTGCATAAAATGGATTCATGTATCAGTAATGTGACCATTCCAGTGGTCCTGTACAGATAAAGGCGCTGTTGAAAGACCGCTTAAGTGGAAAAACAACAGGAGGATCAAGCGAAAAATCTGAACCTAGTGCTTCGGTAGAATTAAATTCCCAGAATTTTAATGAACTTGTGCTTAAAAGTAAAGATCTCTGGATTGTGGAGTTCTTTGCACCTTGGTACGTGCTTTTCTTTATGACTTATCTTATAAGCTAATTTTAAAATATTCACTGTTTGTCTATTATATGAATATGAGATTGTAGAAGATTATTGACTTGTTCCTAATTTCCTTGTTTCAAGGTGTGGGCACTGCAAAAAATTGGCACCTGAGTGGAAGAAGGCCGCTAAAAACTTGCAGGGGAAGGTGAAGTTGGGACACGTTGACTGTGATGCAGAGAAGGTAACTTTGCCTTCCTGACTGTGTACTGGATCTATGTGTTTTTATTTCTTGTACTATATGATTCTAACTTGGTGGCATTACCAGTCTCTGATGAGCAAGTTCAACGTTCAAGGATTTCCGACCATTTTGGTATTTGGAGCTGACAAAGACAGCCCACTCCCCTATGAGGGTGCAAGGAGTGCTTCAGCCATTGAATCGTTTGCTCTCGAACAATTGGAAACAAACGTTGCACCTCCTGAAGTGACCGAGCTAAGTGGCCCTGTAAGCATTTACTTCCCTCCAATACTTAAGCTGTGTGAGATTGTAAGTAACCTAGGCGACTAAAGCATTGCTGCAATCTTCTCTTGTAGGATGTCATGGAAGAGAAATGTGGTTCAGCTGCCATCTGTTTTGTGGCTTTCCTACCTGATATCTTGGATTCCAAGGCAGAAGGGAGGAACAAGTACATTCAGCAGTTATTATCCGTTGCGGAGAAGTTTAAAAGAAGTCCATACAGGCAAGTTTTTGGAATTATGCGCATATCACTGCCAATGAAACCTTGCAGGCTTGAGAGGCAAATATATAGTTACTGACCATGAATGTTTGTGTATGTTGCAGTTTTGTGTGGGCAGCAGCCGGTAAGCAGCCAGACCTTGAGAACCGAGTGGGTGTCGGTGGTTATGGATATCCAGCATTGGTGGCCTTAAACGCAAAAAAGGGAGCTTATGCACCACTTAAGAGTGCATTCGAGGTTGATCAGATCACGTAAGTTTTCTATCTCCACCTTATCTCGAACCACTCTTGATCCTTGTGATAATAAAACAAATTTAAACAACTCAATTTTATTTCACAGAGAATTTGTGAAGGAAGCCGGGCGTGGAGGAAAGGGAAACTTGCCTCTGGAGGGAACTCCGAACATTGTGAAGATCGAACCCTGGGATGGTAAAGACGGAGAGATCATTGAAGAGGACGAGTTCTCCCTTGACGAACTAATGGGAGAGGATACCACTAACAAGGAAGAGTTGTGAGAAATTTAAAGTATCATACTACAGCAGGAGAATTATATCAGGCTAAGATTGATTTTGGGTGCTGGTCATTCCAGTGTTTCTGTGTTTAAACGATGTTTTCAACAACGCGCAAGAGCTTTCTTACGAGTAAGGCTCTCTTTTGTTCTCTTGTTTGTTACCATTATTGTGCGTCATTTCATAGCAATGCAGTGTTTAGGTAAAATACTCTTGTTGGTTTCCAGATTGACAAATCACTAGTTTTTTATTGGTGTCCAAGCCGTGGATACCCAATTCATCCGGCGCAGGTGGCTTTTTAAAACGAGAAAATATTCAGTAGGGCAGCGTGACCAGAGCCTGGCCACTCGTGCGCATAAAATGCGGCCCGTTCCTCTGTAAGAGTGCATGAAATGGTTCTCTCAAAACATTACCACTAATCAACATTAAGAAATTATGAAGGGCAACATATGGGGAGAAACTAGATTCTTGCATATCATTGAAAATTTGAAATCCAAAATTTTGCAGCTTACAGTGATCCATTGGATTCCAAATCCAGAAAAGAAAGAAAAAAAGGGTCAAGATGCATCACATTTTAACCATGTGGTACCTAATCCCTCGTATCGGATCCACAGCAACGCGAATCACCTATACAAGCCCCAGTGTCTACGTACGCTCGTTTTCCCGTCTTCTCTGACTGAAAAAAAAAAAAAAAAAAAAAAACAAAGTACACCTCCTTGTACCTAATTCAGAATTTCTTTCGTTTAAGTTCTGGGAAAATAAGATGCGCTTTTTACCATTCGCCTTTGATCCTCGCTAAGCATTCTTTTCTCAATGGTGAATCTGCAAATATGGCCTTGATGAAATCTTCTACCTGAAAAATTGGACGAGCTTGTAAAAACATTGAGACATGAACAGCACATAAAGCTGAACAGAATACGGGGTCAAGTGAAATCATGCCTCGTACTAACAGAAATGAAATCATACCTCTGACGACGTAAAACCACAACTGCGCAATTCTCCACTTTCCCAAGCCGTTGTGACAGATTTTAAGGGCATATCTAATAATTCTGAAGAATTTGAAACACAAAATGATAATTAGGTCACTGTTTGCAAGACATCTACTAGTTCTGTACCGAATCACACTGAACTTTCAGCATCAGAGGAAATACATGCCTGCCAATTTACGAATTTTACATAACGAAGGTATGTGATCGTCAAGGGTGCAAGTGATGCCCTCTTGGGACTTCTCTACTTGGAGAGCAGCCAGGGACTCCAGCAAAGAAATTAGGCTCTCCAGCATCAAATGAATCAGACTTTGAAGCTAGGAACATAAATACATCGTTTTAGTTAGCTGCACACACCAAGCATCAGAAGTACAAAAACCGGATATATGACCAAAAGATTATACCTGTAATGTTTCTTCTGCTGCCATATCATCTAAAAGGAGTATGTCTTTTGTGACCTTGGAAAAAACCGATTCAAGAATCATACACATGCTTCTCTTGTAAGTTGAAGGCAACAGGATCGGCTCCCATATCAAACGTACTTTGTCCACAATCAAAACAACCTGAACAAGATATGTTTAGCCTTACAGACATACCTCGCAACAAAAACTAAGGTACTAAAAAGGCCTTAACAAATATATCAAATATAATATGATTCATGAAACAAAAGTTCCTCATTAAAATTCACAGCAGGCCACCTGATCTATACTCCAACTTGCAGATTGAAATTGCTGCCTTTCATGGGTATTCTGAAATCCATCAGCGCCATCTAGAGCCTGGTAAAAGACAATTTATTGAAATTGCAATTTTCTAAACTACATAACTTTCTAGCTTTTATATGAATTGAAAGATTTCAGCACAATTATACCTCTCTCAAACTACGAATAACATGTTGAATTTGTCTCTGCAGTATTTCCTCCGCCATAAGATGGAATCTTGGAGCCATATCAACAAACATAGCATGTTCTTTGATGGAACTTGGAAAGTCTGAGCGATACTGGAACAAAAGCGTACAACTGTATGAATTCCACTACTTATTATAACTTCAGAAGCAGTATGGATTTAATGAATTCCACTATTAACAGAATAGCAAATCACCATTCTGTTGGGATCTAAGTTAGGTATCCTATAAATAGTGAACTGTCATTATTTGGTGCAATATTCGGACATACATTTTTTTGATTGGATGGTGATACACGGTATAAGAGTGATTATAGGTGCAAGCATGCATGTGATCTTGGTGATGGTGGGGAATAGAATCAACAAAATCGATAACATGAGCCGATAATGGCTGTTCATCGCCTACCTCAAAAGCAAGCCCCAGTATCTCCTGAGATAGATAAAGGCAATCATTTTGCATAAGAACAGCAACCTGGTTGATTCCATCAAGATGCCTTTCTAGCTTCACAAGTCAAGAGAGAAGATTACTTATATTGCATGCAAAAATCACCAATATTGATGAAAAACTAAGTGAGGTGAAAATAGGCCAGAAAGTAAACTTGATAGAGATTTGCCAGAGCAGTTATAAACTGAGATATGATGTTAAGTTAATACATAGAGAAAAAAACTGCAACTAAAATATTAAAATGATTTTTGTGGTTCATATAAAAAGGGCATAAAAACATCATCAGAGACCTCTTTTGTATCTTTCATGAATAAACCTTAGAAAGAGACAGAGAGAAGGAAGCCGGGGTACGGATTCTCAAAAAATTTAGTACAATAGACAACATCATGGGACAGACGTAACATCACACCTGCACTTTTTAGATTGTCTTAACAAAGGTGTAAAAACGGTCAGTAGCTAAAGTTTATAGTACTGGTTTCCTGTACTAACCTTGACAGGAACCACGACTTCATAGAGAAGCAGAGCATCCCTAGCAGCCCGATAGAACTCCAAAGCAACTCTGGGGGATGACACACAAACATCCTACACATTCCAATCACAGTTGTAGCCTTAAAATATAACAAATGGTAATTTATACGAAGAATCAAGAGGCAAGAAAACTGAAACTTGAGGAAAAATGCATTAATCATGAAAATGAAATCTCAAATGCAAGCACTAATTAGTGCCTTGAGGCTAGCAGGTTGCTCTTCAACTTAAGGTTGTTTTTCTATTTTACTACATCATTAAGGGGAAAAATCAAACATTTATGAGTTTTAACCCAGATACCGTAAGTGTCTGGTGCACTAGATTCATTAGTTCAATCGCTGCTTTGGACACCACACACTTCCCTGACAGGAATAGCAAGTTAACAAGCTCTGGAGATTTGGCAGCATCCAGATCATTCTTGTTATTCCTTGGATACTCCTGTGGGAAAAATATATTGTTCAAAGGCTGGAAATATCAAAATAGCTACAAATGCATTCAAGTTATAGAAGCTTACTTGAAGAGCAGAAAAATCACATTGTAGAAGCAGATTTCTGGCTTTTGCCAAGATCTCCGACTTCTTCCTGGATGCAAAGTGAACCTCGACATTTTCAGCAAACTTGCTCAACTGGTTATCTCTGTTATCAGATGCTGAAATAAACTTCATTTCGCTTAAAGCAGTCTCAAATTCGGAAGTACAACTAATGATCTTAAGAAAGTCAGCAAGTTTTGAAGCATCTTCAGGAACAACCTGAAACAACAAAACATGTCTCCATTACATAGACGTACAAAATGATAAATGGCATGATGCAGGTAGCAATTTTAATGCAGCTAATAAAGAAGTAACTTTGAGTATTCACCAAAAATCCTATACTTGTTTGCTAACATATATTTATAACAGAATTCAAAAAAAAAAAAAAAAACAGATAGAAAAGAATGGATGGGTGCGAAGAGATAAAAGGAATAACCTTAGAAAGAAATTTAGAAATAATTAACTCTGAAATCCTTGGCCATGTCAATCTCCCAAAGCATCGAATCCAAGACTCATCTTGAAGGCAGATGTAGTTGCAAATAAACTTGATAACCTGAATAATCCCTGAGTAGATAGTCTCACCATCCATTTTTTCAATCTGAAAATCCAAAGGAAAATGCCAATGCAACACTTATTGGAATCCAATGAGTACAAATTTGTGGAATACCCCTTATTGAATTGATAACTAAAGGAGTCACTCCCGCGAATCAATAATATATGATAATTTAAAGTGAACCCAATTTTTTTCTCAAACATGTATAAGACAAACCGTTGAACAATAAGACTGAAAAAAATTTAGACAAGATTGACATGTAAAAACTACCTTAGGATCATTTGATGGTACAATGTTCAGTATCGCCTCAGTCAGAACTTGTGAGTCTTGATTTACTTCAGCTACAAAGGATACAGGAGCTCCAAAATTTAGAGCCGGGGAGATGACATGCTTGATCATCAAGTCGGCAACTTTACCAAGACCATAATCCAAAATGCCGACTACCTAGAAATCCCCATAACAAAACCAGATAACTGAATTCATTACAAACCCCATTGCTCTCATTATTTTAAGCAAAAATTATTTGAATTGCAAATTTCGTGTAGTTTTGAGCAATGCATCTACTTGTACTGATTTCAAAGGCAAGGGGGAGGACCAAAAGATATTAACTTCAACTTACATCCAAAGCTTCCAAAACGGTGCGGAGCTCAAACCCATCGTTTCCATCAATGCTAAGTACATACTTGACACAGATTCTATTCGATTCCCGCTCAAACCGCACCGCATTTCTGATGAACCTCACAAGCACTTCTTGAATCTACAAACCCAAACTGAATTCCTCTAAAAAATACAATCACAAACTCAAATAAAAATCACCAATTAAACAACCACAATAGCATTTTTTTCATAACTAGCTATTTAAATTTCTTTCATTTCCGTTCATTTTTCTCGGCAACCAAACAGAAAGTAATCTTCTTTACCTCCTCAAAGCACTCTGACCACTCCTTCCTCAGCAATCTGTACACCACAGGCTCTCCCTCATCAACCCGAGCATCATCCGAAACCCTAAGAGCATTCTTCAGCTCCCTCAGTTCCTGGGCGGCGAACCTCAGCCGTCCATTCCTCAACCCCTCACTGGCGCCCTTCAACCTTTCACTTATTTCCAGAATTGCCCTCACCAACTCCAACAACGCCTTCTTCTCCCTCGCCTCTTTCGTCGTGGCGCTCATCTGCTTCATAATCTGCCCAATCTCCGCCTCGATGGGGCGGTCGGAAATTGAACTCAGAAGCTGGACGACGTCGTCGGAAATTTGGTTGGAGCGCGAAACGGCGTCGTTGCAGACGGAGAAAAGGTTGGCGAACTCCTGGTGGTGAGAGAGGAGGTAAGATTGGATTTTAGACTTGATTTGGAGCGAGTGGGAGTCGAGGCGTTGGATGAGGAGGCGGAGATCCGGCGCAGACAGAGGGGTCGTGGGGTCGCTGAGGTCCTGCGCCGACAGGAGCTCTCGGACGTTGATTGAGTCGAACAGGACGTCCATTTCCGGCGGATCGGACGGCTGGGACTGCCGGGTGGGAAGACTCAGTCGGAGGAGTGTAGTTTGTATCGGAGTAGTGGATGAAGAACGAAGAGATGGGACTGGCGGAGGTTTTAGGCGGAGTGCGATAACGTGCGCCGGGAGCGTTGGTGTTGGATTTTGGGGCAGGCTGTTATTACTCGCGGGGAATTATTTTTGTTCCTATATGGGCCTACTATGGAATAATGGGCTGAGCTTTGAGTTTCAAATTTCAAGTTTCAAATATAGCCGAAGCCCAAAACCCAACTTTTCTTTAATCGATTCAACGTACTCTGTATGACGATTGTTCTTTTTCCCTTTTATTCAACAAACGATATTATCTATGAGTTGGGGAACTAGGTACAATTATCCCGGGAGTGGGCACAATGAGTTAATAATAATGCAGTTTAAATTCATCTTTCACAAGAATTGAACCTAAAATCTCTCATTTATAAATAAAAAGAAATACTATTAGACTGTAATATTAAGTAGCATGTACAATTAAATGTTGGATGTCAACAATAACCTACTAATCCTCCAAGGAGAATAGCATTTATAACAAAATGCTTCTCCAAAACCCTTCTATTCGAGGAGAAATTTTTTATTATTCTAGAAACACAGTCTTGTATACCAAGTGACATAACACAAGTTGTTGAAAACAAAATTTTAAGTCTCCAACCACTTGTGTTATGACACTCGGTGTACTGAGTGATCTCGGCACACTGAAAATATTTTCCAACCATCAATCACGAGATTTCTCTTGTTTTGATGTCTAAAACATTCCAATTAAACTACTCGCAAGCAGTCGGATTCTTCTAATGTGCAACATTCTATATAGGAAAGTTTCTCCCTTAATAGGGTGTCGTAAGATGCCTTTTCTACCCTATCCGCCCATTGTTCATTAAAATATTTCAAATAGGCAACGACCTAAGAGGTTGACCATTATACTTTTGCCTAAAACAAGAGTTTAGTCGACACAAAACATCATCCTTTTCCTTTTTTTTCTATAAGCATCATCCTTTTCCTTGCTAACAAGTAACAATTAACTATGAAAGATTCCTCTTCCTCTTCATCTTCTCCTTTTCTATTTAGTTTCCACATAATTATTAAGTTTTTTTCCATCGTACTCAAAAGGAAAAGGAGAAGAAAGAAGCATCAGAGGAAACTTGGCACTCTCAAGTTTCAAACGTACAACAGTCGGTCATACTTTTGTGTCTGTTGACTGCATTGGTTCATCTTCTATTCAACGCTGATGAACGATTGACCTTTGACCCTTTCAACTTCAACCCCATTACCTACAGTCATCCTATTTACTCTGGACTTTAGTTAAATTGATGACTAAATTATTAAACAAAGACTAAGTCTTTTTTTGTTTTTGTTTGCTTATAGATACTCGTGGACATCGAAAAAAACTTAATTTTGGAAGTGTACGAATTTATTAAAATATTAATTTGTGTGAACGAATCTAATCTGAGTTAAAATTCTTAATAATCAAGCAAACGATAACAAAAAATAAGTAATATATTGTTTCTGCAGATGAATTGAACACTAAAAGTTTCACAACTTAAGCAAAATCATATAGATCATTTACAAGAGGAACTCCATTAAATAATCCAAAATTCAGCACTAAATTGGATTATTGGAACTTAAATCCAAACTAATCCAACCTAGTAATACAATCTTGGAAAAAAAAAATGATACTAATGAAATGAAAAACCCAAATGGCAGATGAAGCCATTAATCCCAATTGCTTTTTTTAACAAGATGGGTAATATACACAAAGGGAAACAATTTAAGGATTAAATCTAACACCAAAAGGAATTATTGGTACCTGGAAACTTATCTGTGTTGAGGATAACCCTAACCCTAATTCCAAAGACCCCAAATCTTGTCCCCAATGGAACTCACCAGCCTCCTCATGGTCCCCCTCTCCACTCCAACCTCACAACCTTCATCATCACCAGACTCACCACCACTCATCACTTCACCAGCAACAACACCAGCGTCCACCACTTGTGGGACCTCCTCCACCTCCTTCTTGTCCCCATGCCCTAATTCCCCAGATCCCAAATGATCACCACTGCCCTTGTTAGCCTTCCTTCTCTCTTTCTTCACCTTTGAGTTTCTGCTCCTCTTCTTCTCCACCAACCTCTCCTCATAAGCCTCAAGGATTTCATGGATCAGCTGGCGGTTCGGCGAAGCGTCCCACCGTGCCCAAAAACTCATGTAGCACCTGAAGCAGTCGCACTGGAACGTAGGAGGGTGGTGGTACTGCGGCCCACCAGCTTCGACGCCAACCCTGTTGTGCTTCTGGTGTGCCTTGTGGCCGCCATCGGTGTTGTCCGCGTTGGAGTTGTGTGACTCGATACAAGTTATGGATATTACCTGCGACGGCCCTGTGGCCGGTGCACGATTGGACTTAGTAGTAGTAGGCCCACGCTGGTTCGTTGCGCAACCGCCTGAGTTTTTGGTGCAGGAGATGAGGTAGGCCAAGACCTCTTGGTCTTCAGGGGAGAGGGATACGGCCAAGGCGAGGATGGTTGCCGGAAGAAGGGTCAGAGGATCGGCTACGGAGGGCGGCGACGGTGACGGGTGAACTTTGCCTTTCTTGTTGTAGAGCTTATTCATGTTGGTTGTTGGAAGCGTTGCTCTTTCTTTCTTCTTCTGCGACTTAGCTTTTTGCTTGCGGAAAGAAAATGATTTCGTTTAACTTTGGAGTTGGCTGTGTTTTTGACATTTTATATCTCGACTACTTGTTCCGTGGGGAATACGAATCTAAAATCTAGGAACACACGTGGCAAATGTAAAATTACAGATTAGAAGATTTTCTTTTTCCTTTTTACAGTATTTTATTATATTTTTTAAATAATTGATATTGGTTATTTAAATCTTAGTTCTTGATGCTTCTGCGTTCCATTGTGGACCAATAATAGTTGGGATGAAAATTATTTGCTTATCCTCGAATGATTGACGGTAATAAAACTCAAATTTAAATTAAACATTGGGTTTTTATTGTGAAATTAAGTTGTTTTATTTCATGCCACTTAGTACTACAACTTAGTAATATTTTTCTTCACTTGTAAGTGAAGGTCTTAGGTTCGATTTTCGTCAAAGACGAATGTAATCACATTATCACTAGCTCATTGTGAGACTAAGCCTACTATCTTCCTCTTAATGTAGATAATATCGTTTGTTTTAAAAAAAAAATTATCTTACTTCGTTGCTAAGTAAATAAACAGTCGTCAAAGGAGCCGTCTTAATTAAAAAATTAGCAAAATTGTTGAAAATTTGTCGAACATTCTTGTACTTACTAATTTCTGTTTTGTGGATAAGTTTTATTTTACCTGGTACAAGTCCAAAGGCAATAAAATAATGGTGGGTGGATAATTTTGATGTTCATTTGGACATTATTCTAGCTTAGCCAGGAAAGATCTAGAACCAAGTGCATGCATCATACGTAGTGTGGTGACATTTTCATTTTATCCTACGTATTTCCCACCCTTTTGTTTCAAGCAAAGGTCATTGATCACAATCCTCACTAGTCAAGATTATCCGTCGGCTTGTCATGACATTATTTAACTTCTTAGACTGAAAATTTAGACTCTTAAAATTTTATCCTATTTAATTGAAATAGTCAATACAATCCAATAATAAATAAGCACTATCCAACGAGTATTTATCCTATCAAACTGAAATAGTCAGTATAGTTCAAGTTGCCAAACTAGATCTTAGTATATATCATTTTTGTCCTTAATTATTTGCAAAAAAATAGTATCAAATACACGAGTTGTATTATCTATGTATGAATTCCTTGGGTGAGATACTAAAATTTAGTTATAACAAAGGCATGTTGTTGGGGTCATAAGCATGCATTGCTCTCACCCTGCCTCCGCTAGTGATTCCACTAGCACAGCACGCCACCGATAGATGACACCTCGAATCCTGTCAATGACAAAATAATTTGATATTCAACAAAGGTTAGTCGCAGGGTGGAGCCACTAAGAGATCAAAGTGGTTTCAAGCCCATCCTAACCATTGTGTAAGAACGTTTTAGCCATCAAGCATGCAATGTAGAACCGTGAGATATGAAAAAGAAGATGAATTGATCTTGTAAAGAAGTTGAAGTTGAATAACATCATGCCTTATATTTTTCTAACAATTTTATTTGTTTTGTCTTTGCAGTTCAGTGAAACTGTGAGTTTAGGGATGGGGGTTTTAAATCAACTTTAATGTTATTTCTAAAGCAACCTAATCAACTATTATTTGTAGGGGTAATGCTAGGGTGACCAAAATTTTAAACTAAATTTTGTAAATCAAATGATGTGGTTGTTGATGGTTGAATTATTACTTAACTGTTGATTAACGCTCTTATATTTCTATTGATGACACATCATTTAGTTTACAAATTTGATTTATAAATTTGGTCTACCTAGCATTACCTATTTGCAGCTGTCCTTTTTTATTGTCAAACAATTCAAACTAGATTTCTTTGTACTTTCTTTCTATAATTCCATTTTTTTTACTGATTATCCTGCTCTCTACCTCCCACTTAATGGTATTGGACAATTATTTTGATTCTCTCTATTAAATATAATGTGTCTTTTAATTTTGTGAAGATTATCTCAATTGCTCATGTTATGAGTTTGAAATTTTTTTCTCAATACCAATATCAAAGGCCTTCCGGCCACCTATCACATATAATTCTAACTCTACCATAATCGCTAATAAATCATAGTTTAACATAGAAACAATAATTAGCACTCTTAAAAAATCATTGTGCATGCATGCCGCTGTAATTAGTTTTAGAAAGGAAGAGGGGAGGAATGCAAGATGATTTGCTTGAAGTACTAATAATTAACAATGTTACTAGTAATATGATCCAATGATATTCCCTCTCATTTCTAAGTGAGAGCCGTGGAGCAAAGTATAATTTCAAAAATCTAGAAATGACACATTGGGTATTTTTTAGAATTATGCTGCTCATTCTGGTATTAAACCAAACATTTCACTATATCAGATCAGCTTAATCTAGTCTAAGCTAGTTTAATCCAAAATAGTTCGGCACAATAAATGGACTCCTCATTTTGCCAATTGACTTATGGTAGAATTTCAACTTTCTTCGTACAATTTAAAATTCTCCCAAAAGGTTATTTTTGCCATTTTGAACGGAATTAGATCCTCTACATCTCCTCACTGGGGATCTGGAGATCAATGAATAATAACCGTTCATCAAATATCATACGGCCACAATTGAATACTTTTTATATTTTAAAAAATAAAACAGTCTTGTTTTGCATGAAAAATATAAAAAGAAAAAAGTTGTAGTCGCACGATTTTTTATGAACGATTATTATCCATTGATCCTGAATCCCCAATGAAGGGATCCGGAGAGGATCTAATTCCATTCTGAACCAAAGAAAATGTCAGTTCCGTACATGAGTTTAAACCAGCTGCAAGTTGCAACAGCTCTCCGCTTTCTCTGTCTCGATCAGAATTTGCTCACCATTTCACTCTCAAACAACACAGAAGGTTTACTGTTCCTCTACACCCTAAACTCTAATTGAAAGTTTCCCGATATCAATGGAAAATTTACCCAAAAATAGAACCCGTGTGGTCTGAAGAAACCCTTTTGCTTTTTTCTTCCACTGCTCTTTGCTTCTGCTCCTCAACTGTAAGCTCCTCCTCTGCAACTTTTTTCTAGTTCTCCTTTTAATATTTGGAATTTCTATGTATTAATGAACACTTTACTGGGTATTTTTCTTTGAATGCTGTTATTGGATTCTATCATTCTACGTGTTCTGATTATGTTTTGAAGAAAAAGAAATTATTTTTCTTCAGTTCTAATGGCTGCTGTCACTTGCTCACATTTTACTTCTTGGGATTTATCGAGTTTGTTAATTTATAATGTTATTTTTACTTTGTTCATTGTCCGAGATTGTTAAACCATTTTCTGGATGAATAGTTTCAAGTTTTGGACATTGGTCTCGTATGAATTGTCCGTCTTAATCCTTCAAGTTAGAAGACAATATCCGTAATCTTCCTTGATTGCACATGAAATCTAGTCATTTTGCTAGTCTAGTCTAGTCCTGCATATCGAATGCCGGCAAAAAGTATTTCAAAAACAACTGATCTTATTTAGAAGAAGAGGCTTTTCTTTAATAGTACATACAAAGCGCTTGCCGCGGCGCACTTCAATAAGCGACTCTACGAGTCTGTGAGCCTCATAAAGTTCTGAACTCTAGTTAGATACTGAAGAAAACTTATTTGTGATACATATGATGTGTATAGAGTTGCAATGTAAATTGTAAAGGAAATGCGGTCTTGACGCATACTAGTAGATGGACGGACTACGTTCCCCTTAAGGTGCATCCTCATGAACATTCATTTCACAGTTGTTGACTTTGGCTTGAAATGCACTTTGATCATCAGAGTATGACCACAAACCTGAACTGGAAGTAGTCTTCAGGTGATTAATGCCTTCTAATGGACTTCCTACTAGGCGCTGGAGGAACTGTGGGATTGGGGGTATGCTGACATCTGAAACTCCCTCGAGAATTTGAACAATCTGCCTCATTGTTGGCCTGTCCTTCTCATCTTCTTGAATGCAGCAACAAGCGACTTTGCATGCTCTAGCGAGTTCATCTTTGTCAGCACGACCTTCCAACCTGTAATCCAACAATGTAACGACATCTTCTCCTTTATTAACTACATTTGCAACCCTGATAGGACGGTAGTTTTCTAACCCCTCATCTAACCCTTCTCTGTTTCTCCTGCCTGATATAACCTCAATCAGCAACATGCCATAGCTTAAGACATCAGCTTTTGGCGTGATGGCTTCACCTGAAAACCATTCTGGTGCAAGATAACCTACAGTTCCACTCATGGTTGTTAGAATGCGACTATGGTGTCTTCCGACAAGTTTCACAAGACCAAAGTCAGCCAGTTTTGGACTGTATTCTGCATCCAGCAAAATGTTGTCGGGCTTAATATCACAGTGTATTATGCAGTCTTGGCACTCCTCATGTAGGTAAGTCAATCCTCTGGCAGTCCCTATGGCAATATGATATCTACCTTTCCAATCTAACATTAGTGCATTCTCTTGATGAAAAAGAGATTGCAGAAGTCGTTTTGAAGCTTCTGCGCAAAATCCCCAAAGGCGAACAAGATTAATGTGGTGGATTGTGCCGATTGTCCCCACTTCAGCACGAAATTGCTTCTCTCCCTGCTCCAGATATTTAAGTTCTTTCACTGCTATGGCAGTTGAATTGGGCAATATCCCCTTGAAAACAGAACCAAAACCTCCTTCCCCAAGTTTTCTTGAGAAGTTGTCCGTTGCTTTTCTTAAATCTCTATACTTGAACAGCACCAAGGAATCCTGAACTATTGCCGATGTTCCTTTTGACCGCTTCCTTTTGAGAAATGCGATGAGAATGGTTGAGATTGAAGGGAACCCGCAAGTACTCCAATAGCAATCCAAGTAGTCTCTCTCTTAACCTTGTCGGTAGAATCTGCAACTCCTATATGAATTTTTATGCCATCCTTTAGTCTAGTTACAGAGTATGGTAGTTGATACAGATCGAATACATCCCTTTCCAAATCATGCGGTCGTTATTGTAAGCGAAGGCAGTGATCGAGCAATCTCTTGAGCATGCTAATCTACATTCCTCAATGCTTTTAACCTTTAACGATTCAGAATATTGGGAATAAGAAACATCAAGTACTCCCAAAAATTTGTGATTTCCTACATCACTGCACTGCAAAGGGGTTTTCGTCACACAACCATAAGAATAACCTCCAAATTCCCAATCTTCTGGGATTTTGGGTTCAAATCCTTCCAAGCATCGACAATGAGGCAAACTCTGAGACTCACAGATACTAAAAGCACCACACTTGGTGCATTGTCCATCCCAAGTGTTTATTGTCTCACTGCCGTTATAAAACTCGAGTAGACCATTCAAAAGTTTGTATCTCATAAATGAATTAGGATCGATGGGAACATAAGTTAAAGAGCTTTCATTCTCATTTTCAACAGAATTTAAATTCACTTGACAATAAAAGCAGTAGGAAGGAATGCTATGATTGTCACCTCGCCATCCCAAACACTAATGGCGGAACCATTTCGAAATAAGAAAACCCTGCTTCCAGCTTGTTCTATCTCAAGTGAAAATATTCCAGGGGCTGGATTTTGTGGGTTTCTCCAGGGAGTAAGAATTAGTTTCTCGTTGGTAAGCTTATTATATCCAAGCTTGGCAGCTGGAAGCCAAGTGTCAATGGGGTGATCAAAACTCTGCCATAAAACAGCGGATGAATCAGGTTCATCTCTGATGACAAAGTTCCCGTTGTCAAGAAGCACTGCCATGGCGGAATTAGAAACCGCTGCCGCAGTTCGAGTTGACCAAACCGTATATTTTGTTTGGTCCAGCAGCGCTAAGCTTCCATTTCGGAAGAGTTGCAATGCCAAAGAATACGAATCAGAAGCAGGTTTTTTTTCTGAAGAATCTACTTCCGGTTCCTGTCCGCTTCTCCGGTGTTGGAGGGTAAACTATTACTTTCTCTACGGTCCTTATTGGAATTTGTAATTCTTTGCAGATGTCCTTTTTCATAGGTTTATGTTAGTAGCCTTTGTGTGTGCATTTAAGTAACTGAGTTATTTTCCTTTTCTTAAGGAAATGCAATCTTCACACGGATAACATTTTAAACAATTTGGACAAAACTGTGGTTTTCAAAATTTTTTGTTGTTTAATGATAATGGTTAAATGAGAGATGGTGTTGTGTCCACAATGTGTTTAGGTTGATGATGACTAATCAAGGATTAAAGTCGCTGTTTCCGATGGAGGATATTGCAGTGATGGGATTATTGGAGTTATTGCTTCAGCTGAATATGATCAGAGTGAGTTTGAGCTACGTAAGACTTTACTGAACAAATTCGACGATGGATAGTGTTCTATCTTTATGTGTTACTTAGCATCTTTCAGTACAAGAGAAAAAAGTTGTTGCATTCTGTCATCTTATTTGGTCAATGTATTGGGCCAGGTGAAGCTGCAGGAGACAATAGAGGCTGCTCTTCCGTTTCAACCTCATGTTGTTATGACTGTGGATTCCAAGGGTTTCTCTTTGCGTCTGTTAAAACAGTTACAGGGTAATATAGACCACCTCCTCAGTGTTATAATCAGACTTTAGTGATACATATGGTGTTGGATTTTTGGGACATTGCTTTTTGCAGCTAGATACAATCGGCAAGGATTAAATGCTCTGGTACACTTCCATTATGTAGCACCGTCGTTTTGGGCTTGGAAAGGGGGTGAAGCAAGACTCCGAGGCCTGGTTCAATTTGCGGAACATGTCTTGTGTAAACTTCCTAATGAAGAAGAAGTTTGCAGATCAAATGGACTGGCTGCAACCTTTGTAGGCCACCCCAGTTTGGAGGATGTTTGGGAGTTGAATTCGGTATGATTTTGTGTTCTATTTTGGAATAAATGTTATGTACTTGATAGTTGTCATTACAGATCATTCTTAAGATTTCTGAGATATTTAGTTTCACGCTCTTTCTTCTAAACAGTTGAGAATAATACATAGTATAGAACCATCTGATGCTGTTTAAATTGACTTTTCTTTTAAGTTTCAAGTACTAATACACAATCTTGTGTATAGAAGGAAACTTCACCCCATGAATGGAAGATGGAAGGAAACTGCAAAGATTTCCGAAGGAAATATGCAATGCCTGCAGGTAATTACCCAAGAGTAATTCTCTTTTGCAGTAACTAAGAGTAATTCTGTTATAGTGGCCTAAGAATCGAGGTTCCACAATAAAACCTTTTCTGAAAACTTCCTGCTCCATCAACTGACTATTTCTTTCCCTTTCTTCTCCTTTTTTATAATAATTTATTCCGAGCCCATATCATTGTTGAGGAGCTCCTTTCTGTGCGTGTGCACGTTTCTTACTCTTTCCCAATTGAAATCCTCTTTTAATATTCTGGGATTTTATTTTGCAAAGGAGCCAAAGTCATTTCCTTGCTTCCTGCAAGCAGATTACAAGAGATCACCAGAATGCTTTGCATCTTCACAAACGCTGTGGCATTATTACAAGTGTCATTTCCTGGGTTAGTAACAGTCATCCATATCACTCCCAATCAGCATGTGAAGAACTGGAATCACTAACAAGTGGCCTGTGCCTGCTATATTGATTCCAGGAGGATCCTGCACCAAAAATATGATGCATTCAGTGTGAGGGAAAAAACCTAAAAGAGCACTTTGGATGATATAAATTGTATTTACGTGTGCACTCTTTCAGCATGTTGGCAGAATGTGAAATTTGAATCTTCGTTTGATAGCCAGTGATGCACTTAACACGGGCATCTAACAGAGCCTGAATCTGAGCATATCTGAAACCAAGTTTTTGGACGTTCATATCTGAGCATGTTTGAATATGTCTATTCTAGCTCAAATTTGTTACGAACATTAAATTGCAGGCAAGTAGCGTTGCGTTATGTGCTTCTGGAACAGTTGCTTTAGAGATGCAGCTTGCACGGCTACCATGCGTAGTCGCCTATTCTCATTTCCTAACTGAGTTGATTATTCGTTATGAAGCCAAGGTACCTATCGTCTCCCTCCCAAATGTTCTCATGGATTCCCCTATTATACCCGAAGCTCTCTTGCAATCTTGTACTCTGACAAACCTGGCCTCATTGATGTTGTAAGTTACATTTAAGCATGATATCTTCAAATTTTGGTTTAGTTACTGTAATACTGGATATAAGTACAAAGCTTTGGTATTTCTCTAGTTCGCACATAAATCAAGTATATTTGATCCATCACAGGGACTTGATACATGCCAATGGCCTCCGAGAAGAACAGATTGTTGCCGCGGAAAAGGTTATCAGACTTCTATGCGCTCCGGCCAGAAATTTAGATCCGTTGGCAGAGCGGCATCAAGGAGGCTGGTTTCCCCGCAACACACCGAGTAAGATAGCAGCTACTGCAGTACTGCACCATGCAAAGCCATGGCTGTCATCTGTGGGATGTCATTACTATACAAATGTTTAATATCTCACCGATGTATCTTTTAGCTTGATTCGAATTGAAGGCGGAGAGTTTGGTTTTTGTTCTTCGCTCGATTGGAGGTGTAGTAACACTGATAATGCAACATCAAAATTGCAAATTTAAGGAGCAACCCCAAGTCGATCGGTTTATCTTTTGACAATGGTTTTTTGAGTGTCCAAATAAAAACAGATCGGACATGGATGAGATTGACCTACGTTCCAAAAATATTGTAAACATAGTACTATGATTTAGTGGTATTTCTCTTCACTTGTAAGGTCTTAGGTTCGATTCTTGCCAAAGGCGAATTTAAACCACATTATTGCTAGCTCACTGTGAGGCTAAGCACACCCTCTTCCCCTTAATCTAGATAATATCGTTTGTCAAAAAAGAAAAATAAGCGCTAAAGTACTTTGTTTGCTTGAACTTGTATAAGTAAATAGCTAGGTATATTTATAGTTCATAACAAAAAAAACTTAAAAAGTTCTCTAGCTGACATGCATCCAATATAAGGTCGGATCAAATTATCATCAGCCGATTAATCTGGAGTCTTGTTTGATTTGTTAAGATAACAAATTCGGACCAAATCACACCTAAGAAAACAAAATCTAAGACAATGCTAACAGTGATTCAAATAACAAGGCAGACATATAGGACATTCTTCCACATCAAAGCCATAAGACTTGCTCAACTCCTAATTACAAACTCCTCAAGGCCACAAAAAAATAAACTCACTTCTTATTTTAGTAAACAACACTCACTTTAAAATCCCCACAACTCCTTCAGTCACATTTCACGCTATCAAACTCCACAGAAACCCTAAAATCTGAATTTTCCACGAGCAATCCCTCGCGCAAAAACCTTGAAAAATCCCTTTTCGTCACTACAATGGCTGTATCAAGGGGACTGCTTTTGCTTTGCCTAGGGACACTCTTGGTCAGTGTGTTCTTAGTCAAGGTGGCCGAGGCTAGTGAGGACCATGGCGACTGCCACAGTGACCCGAACAATGGGGACCAATGCCAGGAGCATGAGAGTGATGTAATTGGGGACGATGATGTGGATGACACATACAAGATTGTGAACAAGGTTGCAGTGACTTTTTCGGCGAGAACCGGCGAAGTTGAGCCAGATGCAGCCGAAGCATCAGACCCAGATGATGCTGAAGATAATGAATCGAGTCATGTCATTGTAATGGGACACTGATGAGCCAAATGGGGATAGCTAGGTAACCTAGCTAGCTTGCTAGGGTTACGGCAGTGCTCTGCAGGGTTCTGGTTTTCGCATTCGTTTCATATTTGTTTTTTCTTATATTTTGTTTTAGCATTGCGTTTTCTTCCTTTTGATGAGTTGGTTTTGATTAATTTTAGCTATGAACAAATGTGAGATCAGTCTATTGTCATAAACAATTTCGTTCTTAGTCGCTTGTTGGTTAATTAAGTCATTCTTTTGATCACATATGTAGACTTGGTCTCGATAGATTGATCATTTAATCTCACCCTTCACTTACCTAATAGAGATGAAACTCACTTATGTTGGTAGATCTCATTTTAAATTAAAACATGTTCGCTAATATCGTGAAATGGATGATAGTAAACTCATTCCACTAACACTCTTCAGGTTTTAAATAACTACCGATAGTAAACTTTTTCTATAAATAAAAGAATACTTTTTTATAAATAAATATTTTTATATGTATATAAAAAAAAAAGAGATTAAAAGAGAAATAATCAATTTTTTTTTTCCAATTCTCAGAACATTTGGCAGCAATCGAAACAATTACAAGCTTGATCACTCAATCAACTTAATCACAGATAATTATAATAAATTAAGATCAATCAATTCCTTCCACCATATTTTTGCACACACGCGATTCTCCCTATGAAAATTCCAAAAAACTCACCCAATGCAACTACAGAAATGGATGTGTCCAAGGCAATAACTGTTTTGTCCCTAGGCGCTCTCCTTGTGTGTGGTTGAAGTAAAAGTGTAGGTGCATTTTTATATCAATTGTGGAGAGGACCATTTAGGATAGTAGAATCTACATTAAACCTGAACTCATGAGAATATTCAGGAATTAGATATTGTATTATTTTAAGAGTATGATTACTTGCGGCGCACACCAATCCTTATACTATAAGGATTCCAAGGTTAAAGGAAACCTGCTGATTCCTTATTGGGTTAAGTTCTCGAATTTTACAAAATAAGAATGGTCTATCTCAACGAAGTCGAAGGACTTCATCCATTGATTCTGAAACAGGATGATGGTGACATCATTATCCATTTAGTCAGCTCTGCTATGGAAGCTATTGAGTTCATGACCGGACTTTCGGCTCTAGAAAATATGTGCCACATAAATGTGACTTTTTGTAAGTTAAGAGGTGCATGATATTGATCTATATATATACATATGTGCATGCTATCTGCTATTATTGTTGCTTTCTTTGTTGCGGAAAAGGATTCTCGTAGGATTCTTTTTCATGGGATCTCAGGAATCCGGTGATCGTAACCGTTAATTGTATATCATGCGGTCAGTTTTCGTTAGGTACTATTTATATTTATTTTTAAATTTTAAATGATTTTTTATCATATGATGTACGATAAATAGTCACGATTACAGAATTTCCGATACCTCGAAAAAAGGATCCGAGGAGGATTATTTTCCTTTGTTGCGATGCGATGAGACTCGTCTTTTGACTTGATGGAAAGACAAGGGTCAGAATTTACTTGAGAAAACTGATTTCTAAGAACCAAAACATCTGATAGGAGCATATTTAGGCGACTTACTTAGCTTGTTTTCGTGCATCTATGTTGGTAATTCATAGTTATTTTAGTCCTTTATGCTTCTTTTGTGTGTTTTCAGGTTCTAAGGGCTTAGGGAGCAAGAAAGTGCATTTTGAGGCTATTTGGGGCACTTTTGGGCATGGATTGGATAGCTTAATCATGGAGCAAAGAGGATGGACGAAATTGAAGCCTTGTATGCTCTTTGGGGACATCAAACAAAGGGCCTAGCCCAATCAAACAAATCCTTTGAGCCATGGAAAACCTCTAGCCCAATGAAACATATTATGTCATGCAAACCAACCTATTTTAGGCCCATTCTATGTGCTTAAACCCTAGCCCTTTAAACTAGTCCATTTATCACTTATCACTTCCATTCACTTATCACTCACCACATATCATTCATTTATCACCACATATCATTCATTTATCACTTATCTAACCTTTCACTTATCACTTCCATTCACTTATCACTTATCACTTCCATTCACTTATCACTTATCATTTCCATTCACTTATCACTCACCACATATCATTCATTTATCACTTATCATACTCATAATTATCTACACATTTCAAACATATGCATTTCATCTCACATGCACACCCACCTCTTTCCAAACTAATTCACATGCATACCTATTCTTTAAATCAACACATGCATTCACACACATGCACATCATTCACTCACATTTCCACCATTCATTCTTTATTCCACAAACAAGTCACATGCATTTCCACCTTCCTACTTCATCATTTCACCACATTCTTCCTCTTTAACTCATTTCATTATTCATTCACTTTGCATTCATTCAATTCCACCCCACATGCACCCTTTATTCTTCATCATTGCAACCATGGCACATTTACACCAACAAAACAACTCCCATGCCATGGCCTACTCATATTCCCATTTCCTTTCCAACATCTCACATGCATTTCCACCTTCCTACTTCATCATTTCACCACATTCTCCCTCTTTAATTCCACATGCATTCACTTCATCATTCAACCATTCATTCTTTATTCCACAAACAAGTCACATGCATTTCCACTTTCCTACTTCATCATTTCACCACATTTTCCCTTTTATTTCCACATGCAATTCTTCATCATTGCAACCACAAACACCTTAAACAAATAGCCATATACATCTCCACTCCTCCTATAAATACCCTTGCATTCATTCATTCAAAAATCATCTCATTCACAACACAACAACACACCACAAACACATTCCTTTCTCCCTTAGAATCCAAAAACCATCTTCCATTTCCACCAATCCTCATCCATTTCCATAATTCCCCAACACTTCCATCCCCCCAACCAACCTATCCTTAAACCTTGTGCTACAACAACGAGGAAGAGAAGAGTGCCTAAACGTTCATACAATTCAAGTTTTGAGTTGTTGGAATGTTTAGGTGTTTCTTTGATTTCAAAGTTTCATTTTAATTCTCTTTGTTTTGTACGTATGAGAAATGGAAGAAAAGAGTGCTTAAACGTTCATACAATTCAAGTTTTGAGTTGTTGGAATGTTTAGGTGTTTCTTTGATTTCAAAGTTATGAGGAACTAAACCCCCTTTAGCTAGGGGGTGATTCGAAAATATGTTTATGTTTGTAATATGATTTGATTACTTTTAATTACGTTTCATAAGTTATGAATTCAATTTGTTTAACTGTTTGATTGATAACCTATTTATGTATGTTTATTAAGAATGAACGCTTAATTTTCATGCATGAATTTGACGCTAGAATATAAGTGAGTTTCACGTAATAGTTATGAACTTATATTCACAAGTAGTGGAGGTTGCTTATAAACAATCGCGTTAAACATATTCTTGGCATAAGTTTCATGCAATCATAGTAACGAATGCCTCGTCAACACTTATAGTTTTCATGATGCTTAATGATTCTTGCTTGTATCTCTATTATGCAATTCATGTAGGGAACTTGTGAGGAATGCTTTGGATTGTCGTATGCAATCATCCAATTCATTAACTTAAGGAAAACTTGACGGTTAATTTAAGCGGACCTAATTAACCCGGGGCGTTGAGAATTCATGGTTTATTGAAAAGCAATTAGAAATCGGTTTGTATGCAAGTATAACATGTGTGGAGATGAACCCCTTAGCTAGCTTTCCCATCCATTCATTTCCGTCAATTTCGTATTTACAATTTGTTTTCTTTGCAATCTATCCACTTTAGTTTAATCTCGTCCAAACCTAAATCCCCCCCCCCCCATATTTTGTTTAAGTTTTAGTCTTAATCTTTCTTACTTTTAGTTTTGCATTCTTCGAGTTTAGTATAGTGTTTTAAACTTGTTTTTACGTTTTTGAAGTCAAATCCAAGTGGTTAACAATCCCTCCTAATCCCCGGT